ATATATTACAGATGTATCTAAACTTCTTTGAAAATACGAGCTGATGAAACCTATCATGAACTTCTTTTATGAAAGGGATCTCTAATCTATTAATCACGAAGCTGCATGGCGCTTCTTTACATGGCCCCCGAATAAAGTATGAAGCGTTCGTCATTGATCATTTCTGTCAAGGATGTGTCATGTATTTAACCCAACCCTGATAGCATCAGCTGTGAAGATGTCATTATAAGTATTGTTAACGCGTAATATTACCGAGTTATTGTATAAGTTCATGAAAGTGTTAAGTAACCCAAGAATATGAAGGTCACCACATAGCGTCTTGCGAATGTCAACCTACGACGAGCATACAAGTTCGGCTGGGAAGGAAACATTAAAAAGGAGAGAAATGGCCGAATCTGTTAAAAGGAATAATGTTCGCAGCACGCATTTACAGTTTGCCCCTTATTAAAATGACCACTCTTTAATATCCAAACATGAAGTGCTCACGTAATTTAGAAAAGCAGTAGAGAGAGTCATCCATGATTTCAGGTATAACCTACTCCATATTTACGTCTTCTGTGTTGCAGCTCCACCAATATCTTATAGGGGATATGGCATACCAGTAAAATGTTCAGTACGCCACAACTAACGGATGGAAATCTGCGTAGAAGCTGGACTATTACGATAAAATAAAACTGAACACCTGAAGAGTCCAGCTATTGTTCTCAACAATTGGCTGGCTTGGCATCTCACACATTAGCGACATAGTTCACGGTTTATGCTCATTGAAAAGCTGTTTCAGCAGTGTTTTTGTGCAATCATAGAGATCCACAGCAAGTATGGGCTATTTTGATTTTTACTTATCACTTATACTTACTTACTTAGTTAGACTCCTCGTTTTCAAGAGTTGTGCAGACCCCATCAGTAAATTTTCCATTCGCTTCTTTGCCTAGGAATCGTCGTCTGTGGTAGTGGTTTCACTTCAGCATTGTGGCGCATGCTAGTCTTATACCGTGGTCTGTGAAACAACTGCGACTGCGAGTACAGCTGTTTGACTTCAGTTGCGAAAACGTCCGCACAATGTGTAAGCGGTCGTCCCCGTGGACTCCACTTTATAGTTTTTTTCGGCCATCTGACGTTTGTTCTTCTCACTCTACGGGCGGCCCATCTATGCTTCGCTGTCGATGTGTGTTCTAAATATAAAGAGATAGATTTCGGAGATCAGAGCTTCGCATTCCTGCTGAATACTGTGAGTGTCGGTCATATTTCAGAAAATATCGTTCAAGCGCCAGGTGAGTAGTGCGCAGTAATACTGATCACCTATAATGTTTGTAAATTCTTTGGACACTACGTAAACATGGTGGAAGTGCTGTCTGTTTATTTGGACACATTGTCCTGAAGTTTGTAACTACAATAGTATTCCGTTTTACACGAGCTAGAGAGGAATTCCAAACTTTCATCCACTGTTGACTGTCAAAAATCATAAATGATACCTCATATACTATGAGTTCGAAAAACGTATAAGCCGATTAAAGGATAAAGGACAAAACTCTTGGCGTTGATCAATCCCTAAGGGATGCGCCATACATTCAACTTCGCTAAGTATCATTGAAGGTGATTGAATGCATATGGCCTTCACGATGACTCGCGGTGGCCTACCGATGTATCGAGCCAGTGCTACTATCCTCCCAGACAAGTCTGGTACTAATTTGCTGACCCCGAAGTGATAGAAGGCTTGGTGGGCCGTGGATCGCTTCCACATGTGTGTCGTAGTGGGGCCTCCAACCACTGCCTCACACTCTCCCTGAGCCGATTAGTAATTCTTATTAACTATAACTGCTGCAAGAACGTTGTTATCTATGTCGTCGTTACAAGTCGTATTTCCTGATTTAGTTCGTGTCAAGGTGTATAGCTGTAGATTCGGTTAGGGGACCAAGTTTATGTAATTAATGAGTTTCTCTCTGTTTGAAATCCATATATCCAAAAAACGACCGATTTTCAGCATATCTCATGCTCCTTTGTTGAAATAGAAATCATCGGCATTTAAAGATTTTTACTTGCAATAGTAGTCCTCTTATTTCATCAACGTTAAATATTCCGGATTTCTAGGGTCACTAAAACAAATTTTCCCTTATTTTTCAGCGGCTGAACTCGCCTTTCAAAAATGAAAACGAGTGAAAGAGTGGAAGTTCGTCCAACGTGACGCGATCCTGCCTTCCAATGTATCGCCGCTTGTGCTAGCAGTTGCCGCCCATGCGTTAGAAATTCTAAAACTCTGTACTGGAAATTTTAACCTACTATTTATTGCCTGCTCTTTTTTAATGGCAGGGTATGTTGCGAAATATAACTTCAATGATGCTGAGATATTTGCAAAAGTCCGAACCACAGGTGTATGCGGTGGGGAACGAACGCGCTATTGTCCTTTCCGGGGAGTAACGCGTTCACCACCACACCATGCGGGTCCTTCGTTTCGCCTGTCTCTGAGCTAGTTCTATCGACCAGTGCCATCAGTAATCATCCGTCAACACGATTGAGACTCTGTATTGGGTTTTCAACTTTTTGAGAGTTCTAATCCTATACGTATTTGAAATTTCATGAGTACTGTATGAAAATTGTGCATACGATTGATGCTACACAACAATGGATGTTCTATAATTCTATGAAGTTCTCTACTCCTTAGGCATTCTAGCGATCGAAAAATTGTCGTCAATTGTCGGGAAACCATCTGCGTAGTATTACGTTGGTACATGCGAAATGCCTGATTTTACTGTTTTGAATTTTCGTGTAATTTATATTTTAAAGTACAAATCTGCTCTTTCCTCCCAACGTTCACCGCCTCATCGTGGCTGAGAGATGTTCCAGGGTGTCGGACTGCGATGTACAGAGGGATTCGTTCTCTGGGCAAGGTCTGCCGAGCTGAGAAGTAGTCCGGCGTTTCCATCAGGAATCCTAGCTAAGAGTGAACCAGCACCAGGATCCACCACCGTCTTGGTATCGAAGTCGCATGGTGGCAAATCTCCCTCTGGTCCACAAGGGCTGTAACTGCCTGTAGTGGTAAAGACCTGGGACGGACTTTGACCATGGTGACCCCGGGATTCCTGGGAACCACAACGGCCTAATTAACAATTCTCCGAAAAATGTAGATTGTGCTGGGGCACGCACAATCAGTGAGGAAGGGCCATTCAAGTATTATGTAAAGTATCAAGTAAATTTGCTCTTTCTATACCTAGTATTAGTTTTTTTCAAAATTTCTTTTTTTAGCTTTTTTATAGGCTTCAGCCTTAGTACGAATGTACGTGATAATCGTGTCGTTTTTTTGTACGTGTGGAAGAGTGGACATAATGCCACGGCAGGGGCTCGAAATGTCATCAAGTTTAGGGTGAAGGTAGTATTGGTGAATCAACAGAGCAGGCCTGGTTCCAGAAATTCAGATCTAGTCATTTCGACCTCGAAGATAAGGAGAGCCACGGACGTCCCAGTGAACTTAACGAGGACGAATTGAAGCTACTAGTGGAAGCAACTCGTGAACAACTGTTCGAGAGCTTGAAGAACAGCTTGACCTAAACACAGCAACAACCGCATTAGAAAGAGAAAGAAAACTCGACAAGTAGATGCCCCACGAATTAAACAATAGTCAAAAAAATCGTAGTTTTGAAGTGTCGTCTGCTCTTATTCTGCGCAATAGAAGCGACCTTTTTCTTGATCGACTTGTGACTGTCACAAGAACTGGATTCTGTACGATCACCGACGACGTTCAGCTCAATGGTTAGATTGCGAACAGGCTCCACAGTACTTCCTAAAGCCGGAATTGCACCAAGAAAAGGTCATGATGACTGTTTGATGGTCTGCAGCAAGGCTAATTCATCACAACCTTTTAAATCTGGAGGGAAGAGTTAGTTTCTTGTAAGAAAAATTTGCTGAAGATGTGCTGATTTAAGTGGTGTTTGTTTCGATTAATAAAATTTAGTATGGAAAAGTTATGGTTGTTTAGAATTTACATTTAAAATCGGACGTTTCATATGTTACAGCCTAATAGATTTTAGCGCCAGATATTCGTATTGTTGCTAAGAACGTCTCACTAATGAGGGAATTTTTTTTGGTGTTATGTGGTTATTTAATGTAACTAACTAATGACAAAGAAGAATCTCCTTACGGTCTGCTACACAGATTTGTTGGGATTTCACAGAGAACAAACAAAAGCAAAATCAAAAAATTCAGCAAAGAATGAACCAACTTATTGTGTCAGCATTGACTTAAAGCTTTTCATAAACTAAAAGAACAGTTAACGCAAGGGAACGTGTAGTGCAGTGGTTGGAGGCGTCCGTGCAATAGACATGGGTTCGATCTCGCGCCCCAGGCTCACCAAGCCTTCAATCCGTCCGCTGTCGGGGAACTTGTAGCAACCTTGTCTGCAGGGATAGCATCACTGACTGGATAGATCGGCAGGCCACCGCGAGTTATTGAATAGGCCAGATGTGCACTGATGCTAGGCTTGCTCGATGAAGTCGTATGTATAGCGCACCTCTGGGATTGATCAGCTCCGAGACCCTTATTCTTTTTCTTCTCTATTGAACAGAGCTTATATGTTAAAATTTGACAAAGAAAGATATTTTTGAGATTTTGAAGGGTTTTGACCATGGACTATGGATGTGATGAGCGTCCCTTTGACAGCACCACAACTCTTCACCTAGCTCCTATTAGTGTATAACACCTGGTCGATAGGCTATTTGAAAAATTAGACAACGGAGCGCCTGTTGCTTTCTTTATCGGCTACGAAGATCAACTCGTTTTTACATTATTGTACTGCTCCTCGTTTTTTCTGGAACATTCGTACTTTTTCTATTTATATGATAAAAATGAAGCCCTTCGATACCTCGGTGTTTTTCTTCTAAACTTTATTCGCATGGCGACTTTTGGAACTATTTCTCCGTCTCACGGGTGTTTGTTATTGTTCTATTCCGGCTAAACTTCCGTCTTGTCTTGTACTTCTCCATAATTCTTGCAGTATTCACGTTTTCAGCATGGGAGTATGTGGGGCGTGGTACTTATCCGAGTGCACCGAAGTCACATGTTGCGAATCCTACCGATTTCGTCTCTACATTTTATTGTTTAGGTAAATTGTTTAGAAGCTTCCTCTTTGACTTTTTTTTCGAATACATCTTCGAAGTTCATCGCTCTCCTAATGTAACAAACATTACCTATGGGCGGGTGCTCACCAAGCCTCATGTCTACTTCTCTTATGAGAAGCATGACAAGGTGTTTACGATTGTACTATATCTCCCGAATTAGTGGACCTATCTATCATCGTGTTAGAAATCAGAATTTATATTTAAAAATTTAATTTTTAATTAATAATATAAATTCTATTTTTTTAATTTTTTTAAATTTTTTTAAAAAAAAACTTTAAAAAATTAAAAAAATAGAATTTATATTATTAGAAATAAAAAAAATTAGAATCACTAGAATGAAGTGACTAGGATAAACAGTAAAACAATAAAAAACAAGATACATCTCATATCCTTCTAGTGATTGAAATCTATTTGCTGGTACAGCAGAAGAATGAAAGAATGAAATGCCGGAGAAGCCTGCGGCTCATATATTTACGTGGCCCCTTCTCACATTTGGGGTATAATCTTCAGCAGCCGTTCTCGTTGTTTATGCTCTTATTTAGCCTCGATTGTGGGTTGAAGGTGTTTCCTCTTTTCTGTACCACGAATACATCGTGATGACTGATTGAGCTAGTTGAGTTTTACCGAAATCTTGAGATAGTCCTACTAGAAGCAGTCAGCGGTCTATGAGGATCAGAAGAACATTCCCGTACTGTCACAAAGATTCTTGTGTAGCACTATGATTCTTGCGGTTGAGGACGATATGAAAAGCTAAATTCAGAAACAAAAAGAAATGATTCACTGGCGCGTCAATGTCGCTGATTAAATAGCGTGGAAGGAAAGAGAAAGACTGATGAAAGACGAACATAATACTGTGGTTTTGGTAAAAAGAAAGACTTCCATTTTCCAAACAAAAAACTACGTGCAGTTTTCGTTCCCCTTAGAAGGAACAGCAATTCTGATATTTCTGCTTTGTTTTAGTACTTTAAACTGCTTTTTCCGATCCATTTCAGTGTACTATGTGTCTTGGCTGCCATACTTGTAGGCGCTGCATGGTTGTTATTGGAATTTCGTCCATCATACAGGTGAGATTCCGGAACTGAACCTAATAGTTGAATTTTTAAGATGTGGAAGGTAAAGTTCATTTGAGAAATGTTTTGATTTATACCAGACTTTACCTTACTGCTTGCAAAATGGATTCTTCGAATGGAGTAGACAGAAGTCGTAGTATCGGTCAACAAACGGGTGTTCGATGGTAAGAAGAATATGGAAAAGTGATAAAGATGGAGCAAAATGGGGAAAAAAAGTAGGAGAGTAGAACTTATGGATTCGCTTTTGCAATTCCTTCACTACGGAAGTCACTATCTTCCTGATAATCAATCAATAGCCCTTCTTTTCAAGAAACAGTAGAGAACTCTTCATTTTTCATTTAAGAAACCGAGTTCGCCGTACTGATTCCGAACAAGCTCGTATTGAAATGAGGTCTTTCGAGGAGACGAAATATCTACGACGTTATTCTGAACTGAAGTAAGTACTTATTGATTAATCGTCTTCATCGAATAGGATAGGAATTGATAGCTTCGACGAGACAAACGTTATCTCCCAGCTCAGCTATCACTGCGTTATTCGAATATAGTCTCCACATTCTTTGATCAAACCGCAGTCAACAAAAAATTTAAACTATACCACTTTTCGCTTTAGTTATTTGCCCATTTAGTAGCTAGTATCTTAAGTCAAAAAATTAATAATAGACCTCCGAGGTAAATACGTCACTCGAATTTAGCCCAAAGCACAACAGCACATGTGTTCAGCACAACAGAGTTTGAAGAATATTGTAGTGAATGCAGATCATTACCATAGAATGGATAAGGAGCATTGATTTCAATGCGCCCGTTTACATCTCGAGTAGATTTTGGGTTATGTCAGAAAATCAGAATATCATAAAATCAAAGTAATATTTTCTTTATTTTATATGACTTATCTTCAAGTCTATTGTGCGGATCCCAGCACTTCTCATATTCCATTGGTTTCCTCGCTTCCATTATCCACGAAGATCTTCCAACTTTTACGTGTGGCTTTGGTCTCTGCTTGAAGATTTCCATTTCATCCAAAATGTCGTAGAATGCTGGTCGAGCAACTCTCACTGGAATCCTGAGATAGCCGGGCCTGGACGTTCCCAGTTGAATTGCAGAGAGGGATTTTTCCCATGCAAGTTCAGTACCAATTTCTTGACTCTGGAGGGATGCGAGGCTTGGCTGGTTCGGAGAGGAATCGAACTAGCACCATGCTCGTGATAACGGACATGACTACCACTGTGCTATCCGCTCCTAAATCAAAGTAACAGGAGGAGGGAAATCAATGATATCGAAGTCACTGAAAAAAAGGAGTAAAAATCGTTAAAATTTGCATATCTCTACTAACAAAATACGAGTTTTCGTATGTTATAACGACAATATTTCACTTTTTTGGAATCCAAAAATCTACTCATTTGCTCTTTTTCTGTAATCCAAACAGCGAGCGCCTTAAACAAGCGGGATATCGTTGAAGATGGAATGCGTGACAATTTCCTTGAATGCGTCCTTTAATGGTTGCGATTGTCCTGCTTTCATTGAAAACTTTAAAAGACGATTTCTCAAAGCCTTTTTTTCTAAAGTTTATCACCTGCTCAGCACATCAACTGCCACTTACTGCAAAGTTGTGAGCAGTTGTCAGAAGCGCACTCCATCGCGCGTACCTTAACATTACTGAGGCTGGATCGAATTTCGTCGTGGTTTTTACTTTTTGATTTAATCCTTTTTTGTTCTTTGTTCTGCTGATTGAATTGAAAGCAAAACACTGGTGATATTTGATTAAGCTCACCACCACATTATCCGTCATCCGTCCATCGTTGATATTTCTCTCGATCGTTACATTTAGCGCGAAACTACGGGATGACATCTGATGTATGTATTCTTTTACGTGGGTTATCGCTTTGTGTGCTTGTGTTAGCACTTGCTAATGAGTGTAGAAAATTTCTCTGATTAAGTCCTAACACATTTCCTGCTTTTGATCTCCATATCAGAATTCGAAAGTGGTTTAGAATCGCCTACATTCCACAACTATTTATTTTCGTGAAGCTATCGACTTTTAAACGGTGTTTCCGTTGAGAAATCCACTCTATATCACCGAAACTCTTGTGCTATATCGTTTGAAGATTTGTACGAATAGGTTCAGTGCTGATGGACTTTATTTACATTCGCAATTACTCTATTGTAAATCGATAAACAGTGGGGAGATTGGAGTTTTGGCCTAGTGAGCACACAAACGCCATACCATCATACGACTAGCAGTATTTTGAAGTGCACGATTAATCGGAGTCAATTCCATTCTGAGTGATTTGAATGGTCAATGGGAATCCTTCACTGGTCTATATCCTGTTTTTTGATAAAAAAAAAAGAACAAAAAAAGAGCAAAGCTTTCGGCGTTGACCAATCCCTTAGGGATGATCATCCATTCGACTTCATTAAGCTCGTTTGGAGGCGATTGAATGCATATCTGGCCTTTACAATATGGCTCGCAGTGGCCTACCGATGTATCGAGCCAGTGCTGCATTCTTCTCAGGCAAGCGTGGTATCAATTTGCCGACCCCGGAGCGATGGAAGGTTTGTTGAACCACTGGCGCGGGGATCGATCCAATGCGTGTGTTGCAGGGCGCCTCCGACCACTGCGCCGCAAGCGCCCATCTGTTTTCTGACATGATTTATATATGACACGATCTGAAAGATGTTTATGATGGAGAAGAGCAACCGTATTGTATTTCGAGCGCAACCGAACTCGATATCGCATCCTATTGCCGAAATCTAAGGCGTAGCTTACTTTCCATTTGTAGCAAATGAACCACAGCTCATTGCTTCTAACTTGCAATGAGAAATGTTCGTACTGAAATATCGTCACATCCAATACACCGAAAACGACGACTTGATATTTAAATCCTGCGTGACAAATATTGCAAAATCGTTCATAAATGTCAAAAATTTCTCAAATGATAGCCCTGAGTGTCCTATAACTCAGCGACTTCAGATAAGTTGTGATGAGCTACTTCATTCAATATAAAAATAATCGAGATTTTGATAGCGTTAAAAGCTATAGGACTCGTCCATTATCTAAAAGAGAATAAAAACATCGAAACTACTAAGTTCAACAATGCAGAAAAAGTGATGACAATTCTTCTATGTTTCGACGCAAGTTTTCCAAAAAATTTTCTCCCAAGACGTCCAGTTTAAATCCAGTTCAACGAACTTTCCATCACTCTACTGTGAATTCCCGAAGTCGCTCAGCTAAAATTCCTCACGAAAACTGTTCCAAGTGCTTTTCACTCTAGGAAACTTTATAACATCGTTTACTATCGTCGCTAGCTGTGTTTGTATGTTCTGCCCCGAACTCTTACAGTCGACGTCGATGTTGTTCTGACGAGCGCCCACTTAGCAGATGAACTCAGTTAGCAATATTTCCCGTTCAATAAGCCTAGACAGAAACGATTACAGCTACCAACCGATAGCTGTTTAATTTTTGCATCTGCTGCTGCTTAAGAATTTTTTTCGGGCAGCCGTTAAGAGCAACTACGACGTCGACTACGAGAAGAAGCCGAAGTAATCACAGATCCACAAGCTCATGGACTTACACGTACTATTTCAGCCCTCTACAAGCTCGTCGACATTCGATAGATAACTGATAACCGTCTTCGTGTCTTCCTCTATGCTGTATGAAGAATTATTCAGACCATGTAGCCTGATGTCGTCATTCAGTCGATCAATAATCCTGATTAGCACAGATCGACTGTAAAATTGTTTGATATCGATTCCTGTTACTCGTTTACCGTTTCCTAGTGTTCTCTACATGACGATTATGTGTCAGGCGCTGTGGCTTCTTAAATCTTTTCTCTATTCCTCTCTCATCCTTCGTTCATCCGTTTCTGGTCGATGCGACTATGTATGCTTGATCGTTGGTGATCGTCAATGATATTACTTGTAACTTTTGTATATACTCTTTTTCATACCTTTTATACACTTGTGTACTTTTTATATACTTATGTTGTTCTATTGCATAAGCAGAGTTTTCCACTAGCCATTTGTCTGTACGCGTATTGTTTCTGATAAGGCTAGATAACCGCAGTGATTGTACAATCAGTAAACATTGTAACCAAATGTTTACAATGTAACCGACAATAAATTAAAAGGATGGTTTCAACAAGCTTGTTTTGGTCAAAATACAAGGTTAAAACTCAAAAAAGGGGAGTTGTGTAAAAGTTTAACCTTTTTTACTGCCTTTTTTTGCAGGAAGGTACTTCTTGAAATACAACCACAATGGTGCTGAAACATGGCAAAACCCTGAACCCCAGACCCGCTTCAAACCCACGATTATCCTTCCCATAGGCTCACATGCTACCCACTGCGCCACCGACGCTTTCGCTTTGCCGTTCTTTCTGCCAGCTTTTGCCCAGACAGTGATATCAGCATTCACCCGTAAACAAGAATGATATCGGGAGCATTGAATCAGCATTAAATCCAGTTAGATAAAAGTAAAAGCATTAGCCAGTAATTAAAAGTTGATCATTGTAACATCAACTGCAACTTCAGCTTACTATATGTAGATCCGAACACCAGAGACAGGAAATCCAAGTCTTTTAATTCATGCCTTTGTTGTTAACCCAGTACCCAGCTCGTGCTAGTACACCACGTAGCCTAGCAGCCCTTCTGATGGGTGATCTTCGCTGAGTGAGATCGGCGGTCTTAAATCTTAAATACGACAGTTTTAATGCTACTTGAAAGTAAATTTCAAGTAGTGGTTGTTCTCTGGAAGTTTTTGTAACAATATTTATTTTCTTAGTGCTTTAGTTAGAAAGTTTTTGTATGCAATAGGTAAGAAAGCAGATCTATTCTCACTGAATCTTTCGAGAAGACTCATGAAGTTTTTCTTCGGCAAAAAAAGTGTTAAGAAGACTGATTGATGGAACAAGAAGGAAGTGGTGATATGACGAACAATGGAAACCGTTTTTTAAAGTGATACCGCTGGATGTAAAAGTGGAGAATGGAATTGGCAATCAGTGGGATGAAAAAGCACGTTGCACAAAAAGTGAAACAGAGCATTTGACACTGTCAGCTTTGTTCGGTAGCCGTTTATTTATCTTATATGAGTCGGCCTGTGTGACTTCTTCAATACTCCAAGTTTGCGAGCTTCAATGAGAACTTGCTAGAGAGAAAGAATACAGCTATACACATCACAAAGGATCGAAAGAATTCCCAACTAGGGCGAAGTTTTCCATAAATGTTATTTTTTAGTGGTTTAGTTAGAAAGCTTTTGTACGCATTGGCTTGGTTACGATCCACTATTTCCTTTCAATTATTGTGGAAACAAAGAAAAGTATTATTCTGGAAAAGCAAACGGTATTCAAGATTTTTCTCTGATTCACTTTTGGTTCTGGAGTTACGAAGTGCCTGCAAGAGCTACATTAAATAAAACACAACGCTCACTCATACACTTTGCACAACAGCT